CATGTTTCACGTTCCAGTGTCTAGCAGGCTGCCCTATTCACTTGAACTTACCGACCTGACTTATCAACTATGGTATGGTATTTCTCTCTCACGACAAATCAGTGAACATTACTGGCTTTTCATCGAAGCGAACAACCTTTTGAAGCTTATTATACTAACCATCCGCTCGATCACGTACTCGTTGTCCTTGATAATGTATTACTGAGAAGCTCTACTCTTATAAAAAGCGATATTTCCGTGTCATCTTTTGAATGAAAATTATACAAACACGAATACGAATACTTGGGTTGGGTATAGCCATGTGTATTTTCATCGGTTGTTAGTTTTCCAACACGGTCCTTTACTTCATATATACAAATGCGAGTCGAATCGGCCCACTCAACGCAACTTGTGGCCCATCCGTGGCGAGCAAATCCAGGCCCATGTACAGTTTTAGCCCAGCCCATGGAAGCGAGTCGTAATGGAGGAGGACCGGAGGAGTCGTCCTCCGATGGTAAAAATAACAAGGCACAATTGCCATGGACCGGAGCGTGATGTGTGTGGGTTGTGCACTTGTACCCGATAAAAAAAACTGCTCGCAAATCCGCTCCACCCCCTCGCCGATCGCCAGATCCCTCACTCCCCCGCACGCCAGGGCGCACGGCTTCTTCCTCCGCTCCCTCAGCTCAGGTAAACCTCGCCGCTCCGCTCTTCTCGTGGCGCTGCCCTCCTCGAATCCGGGCGCGGTTTAGTTGTTCGGAGAGGGGCTTTGCTTGCTCGGTCGGGATGGGAATTGGGAACAGCCTATCGCTTGACGCAGGTAGGGATTTGCTAGATTCCTGATTGATTCACATATGTTTCTAGTTCAAAACCACGGGGGTATCTGAGGTAGCTTGATCCTAGTTAAACTGATGCTCGTGGGTGCCTGAATGTTTCTGTTATTTCTGCTCACGCTTCACAGTGAGGAGTCGATGTGTAGGCCTGGAGCTGGATCCAACATTGAAAATTCGAGACACGAGCAGTAGTTTTTGTGAGACATTCAGTTCTCAGGTTAATGATGCGGATTTGTTTGTGTGTATCTGTGAACGTCGTGTGGTTTATTTGCGTGTTAGTTTTTCAATCGTCTCACTGCAGATAGAAAGCTATATATCACTGAAGAAGGGGGGTGTTTATCCTGTTTCTCATGGAGTTCGTAACATGTGGAAGGCTGGATGGGGTGTTGGTTTAGTCTGGTTGCTTCCTGTTACTTTGTTTGGCATTGTTTTGTCCCTGGTCAGCTATAAGGCAAAAGTTGAGATGTGATACTGAATGTGGCGATTGATCCGATATGCGTGAGCAATTTCGATGGGCATTTTTGTGATTTCTCATGTATATGTGCTTGAAACATGTGGCTGCTTACCATTTGAGCATGTATGGCCCGCTGTTTTGTGTCTGCTTTGTCCATGCTGTTTGGTGTACATCTGGTTTGACAGCTGGAACAGATTGAGCCTAGTTAAACTGGTGTTCATGGATGCCTGAATGTTTCTGTTATTTCTGCTCATGTTTCACTGTAAGGAATAGATGTGTAGGCCTGGAGCTGGAGCCAACATTGAAAATTTGCGCCACTAGCTGTAGTTTGTGACACATTCAGGCCTCATCAGGCTAATAAAGTCAATTTTATTATGTGTATATTTGAACCTCGTGCGGTTTATCTGCATGTTAATTTTCGATTATCTTAATGCAAATGGAAAGCTATATATCACAGGAGAAGGGGTAATTTACCCTGTTTCTCATGGAGTTTTTAGCATGCCAAAGGCTGGGTGGGGCATTAATTTAGTTTGGTTGCCTCCTGTCGCTCTTTTTGCATTGTTTTGTCCCTGGTCAGTTATAAGGCAGAATTTGAGATGTGATACTGAAAATGGCAGAGTGATCCGATATGCATGTGGAATTTGGATGGGCTTTTTCGTGAATTCTCATGCATATGCTTGAAACATGTGGCTGCTTACCATTTGAGCATGTATGGCCCACTGTTTTTCCATGCTATGAGATCAATATATTTGCTGCTAAGGTTATCTGTTTATGTATCTAGCCTTTATAGTTAGGATGAGAAGTTTAGTTGACTCAGGAACTTAATATTATAGAACCAGAGCAATTTCTGACAATTTAACTCATGTTTGATTTGTTGCACTGTTATTTGCAAGATGATTTATGTTAACATGTGCATAACTGTGGTCTGTGGGGGGGGCTTGCTGGTTTCGAACTCTTAACTGCTAGCAAATTCTCAATAATAAGAGCACAAACTAAGAAAGTTTGGCTTGCTACAAAATTTATGACTTGTATCAGTGGTTCCACTTGCCATGCTGTTTGTTCTGAAATTATTGTACTGAGATGAAGTTCACAATGTCAGCACATGTGCAATATTTAAGTCCACTAATTGGTTACTAGCATACAACATTTAACCCCGAATCCTAACTATTTTGAGAGCTACATGTTGTATCTACTACCCCTATAATACACCAGTTAGAATAAATCTACAGCCACATAACAAATGCCTACTCTACAGTCATGACCTATGCTACATCCATACCCATGAATGCACCTAGAAAATATAACAACATCAAAACGGATGCACCAGATTATCTCTTAGCCATTCTCTCTCATTACTCATCCAAATTCGACGGCTCATGTTTAGTGTGTCTGCCCTCCATCGCCCTCCCGCAGACCTCCCACGCGCATGCGCCTGCAGGTCAGCCCCCCCGAACGATCACCCACCCCGCCGCGCCCAGTGCCCCCCGAATGATCGCCCACCCCGCGTGCCGCCCGCGTCCACCGTGGTTCAATTCGTGGCGGTGGCCTATCAATAAAAAAAGAAAGAAAACAACTTCCCGATGCTTCTCCTCCTCGCACAGGCTCCGTCCGTCTAGAACGCTGCCGCCGCCGCCCTTGCCCTCGTCGTGGTGCCTCCTCCTCCCTCTGCCCCCACTGCTTCCTAGCCGCCTAGCGCCGCCCCCGACCACGGCGAGGTCGCAACCGCCCAGCAACGTGGCTAGTCCCCGACGGCCGAAGTCGCAGCCACGGCTGTGGCTGGCCTTGCAGCCCCCTGGCCGGCTCCGTGGTTGGCGGCGCGGTCCCCCTGGCTTTGGTCACCTACTGCCGGCTGCGCCGGGCCATCAACGCCCTACCACCTTGGCTAGTCGAGCGCCGGCGACGCCCCTGGCCATCGCGCCGGCTCGCCCTTCCTCACCCTTGTCGTTGATGAGCATCACTAGGGTGAGCTCACCTTCCTATTCCCTTCCTGCTACGGTGCGAATCTGAGCACTCGAACCCTAACTAGCTATTTGGTTATTTGTGTTCAGATCTGATCCATTTACAAGTGTATATCCTTGTGTTATGCCTACTGTGGTGAGTTGCTTTCCCCTTCGTAATGGATGTCAGTTCATGGATATATGAATGGATCGATGGAGGGTGTTTCTATTGTTTGGAAATCATGGATGTCAGTTCATGGATATATGAATGGATGTCAGTTTAGTTTGGAAATCATGGTCTTGAATTAGCATTGTATCTAGAATTGGATTGTATCGGAATAAAATTCTTGTGATATGAATGCTGTGTCTGCTACTGATGTTCTCTTTTTTCCTGTGGTGCCTATTTGTTGATCTATTTGCCTTTTTTCTTCTGGATGGAGCAAGGATACAATATGAATTTTGGAAGAACCTCTTTGATTTCTTAGATAGGAGGTGATACATGTGCATGACTACTAAATAGTAACCTGCTAGGAAGTAACTACGGTAATGGCAAAGAAAAAATCTATAATGTGGATTCTAGAATTCAAGATGTCTATATGATAGATCGTTAATTTTTTTACCATGCATACTTTTGATATAGACAATCATAAATGGGAATATTGTTGCCCTCTTTTATAACTAATTTTTATTGATTGATTGGTTAGTGGTTTTTATGGATTTTAGGTTATATATATTTGCATTCATAGATAGATATGATCTTTGCTAATTATTATGATTCAGTATGAGATGGGCATATGTTTTGTCATTTTCCTTCTTCCCTGCTTAAAGGTGTTGGGCAATAATAGCAATTGACTGGGCAATTAATGAGTCTTCCTGCATGTCAAGCTTCCAGTTTTATGTCATGTAAAAAACCGTTAGTGTCCATGAACATCAATTGAACTGAACTCGATCTTATGGTTGGGTATCATGTAGATGGTAATTTATTGCAGTCAAACTGGTTTATGCTCTTTCTTTTTTTTAAAAGAAAATAAGTCTAATAGTTTTGGTTGTCTGAAATCTCGCACTCACAGCAGGAGGTCAGTCGGCGTGAGTTTTTTTAGCACAAGATGCAGCAGGTCGTGGATTGGTAAGTTTTTGCTACATGTTCTCTTCTGTTTGCACAAATGGATAATTCAAGGGCTGGTTTGTAGTGCTTGTAGATTTTAGTTCATGTTAAAAGGAATGATAAGTCAGAAATACTACCAATTTTCCTAGAGTGAAATGTTAAAATTGTTGGTCTTCCCTTTGTTACATTGATATAGCCTTGTGTATGCTGCCAAATGCATTTATTTATCCTGAATTTCTAATGTCAAGGCTATCTGGTGATCTGCTAGAATTACTACCCCTTTGTCAGATGGTTGCATGTGTTGTGAGCCTCATAATCATTGACTCTGGTCACTAAAATTTTGACGACTCGTGTGAATTCCATGGTTTGCAGATAATTGAGATGAAGCTCCTTGTTGATAGCCTAGAGAAGGAGAGAGATTACTACTTCTCCAAGATGTTGTGTACCAAGAGTCATCTGGTTATATTTAATAAATTCTTATAAGCTTGTATTGTTCTGTAAAACTGGTTCAATCATATAACTGATGCGATGAATTATTATTTATTTGCTGATGCAGTATGTAGAGCTCATGCCTTTGGCTTTGATCCACATGCTTGATATATGTTGTGCACACTGCACCCCATATATGTTGTGACTGCCATGAATGACTGCCATGGCATTCTTGTTATCTGCTCCACTGATCCTATCTGTAGATGGCGTCAAGTTTAGCTCATCATATCTACAGAGTGCTGTAAGTGTAGCCAGCTTGGAAAACAAGAAATATTACAATATTTTAACTCTTCACTGATTTGAAATTGCTGAATACTAAATTTACTACGTTTGCATGGAGTTAATATTAAAGAATTATGTGTAAGAGTGGCACTTGCTGGCACATGTTGCAGTTTTTACCAGCAGGTGAGGCTGTAGCAAATGCTCGTCTCCAGAAAATTAGGAGACTTCCTTGTATACAATTTCATGAAGTCATGGGATGGTGTAAGATTGTCACCGATCAACACTGTAAGCATATATTTTTTAACTATATTCCGTACACTACATACAAAATTAATAACTTAACTTATTATATCTACCATGCACAGCTATCAAATTCACTGAGGATGAAATTTTTGGGGGGCATTCTTAAGAGTCATGCAAACGAATGTTTTGACAACTTTTCTGAATATCTCAAGTCATGATTAAGGACTTAGACAGGATGTAACTTAAATGGTTATATGAGAAAAAACTTTACTATGACTTCTTAGTTTCTCGGATTGTATACATGCTCAAAGATATTATGTAAAAGTTGAACTATGAAAAAAAAAACATTGTTTGTTTTCATGTGCGTCTCCAAGACAAATCTGTTGTGTTAGCACGGGCATTATACTAATTGATTAATCAAGTTAGTGGGGTTTATCATGTCGATGTTGCTCAATATATTGTTTTTCTTGTTTCCCCTGCAGCTCGGTTCCGATGGGGTTCCTGAAAAGCACTTTCTCACTGTTGATTGGCACCGGCTGCGGCATCTACATTGCCCAGAACTACGAAGTCCCAAACATAAATAAGCTCATGTGGACTCTGATGGGCAAGGCCAAGGAGTTTGAAGAATCGTACAAGAAGCAGGGCAACGGCAAGAACAAGGATAATGAATAGCATTGACCCGCAGTCTGCGCTCCACCATCTTTATGTGTAGAAACCACCGGTTTAGGAAGATTGTTGCAAGAGCATTCGGATTGTTTGAGGCATACCACCCCGGGTAGTACCTTTTGTCTACATTTTTGCCTTTTAAAAAAGGGAAAGATGGCATACTGTAAGTCTGTAACTGAGGCTTACTCTTGCCCTGGATCGAATCTATCTAGATGGCAATACAGTTTTTGAGGGGAGGTCCTTTTCATGACCGCATCATGATCCAAGTATCAGATGATGGCTGATCATGGGTGTATTGTTATTTATTGATTGATTAAAAAAAGGAGTCCATGAGCCTAGATTTGTGGCGGCATGTGCGATCTGCCATTGGCCATTGAAAAATATGATGGCAACTAGATGGAACCTAAGTTTCCCTTATATCTTAATGAAACACGAGCTGGGTGATGGCTCGTTCGAGAGAGGGGGAAAAAAAAGATGGAACCTAAGTTCCTGAAACTGAAAGTAAGTACTCCACCCGTATCTGAAAAACGGTCCTTACTTTACCTGTGTCTTTTCCCTCAAAACTTTACCTGTGTCTTGAGGTTTGTGTACATGAACATTTGATTGGTGTCCAAGGGCTTTTTTCTTTGATGATAAACTAGGACTAGTTGGTGTTAGTTTACTAGATGTTACAACTAATTGTTAGGTGGTTAATTAATGTTTATAGCTGATTAAAATTCAGGCCTATTCTGTTTAGACATGGATTTCTCCGCTTAGCTCTATGTAAATATTCCGTGAACTACTACTACTAGTACTAGTGCTTTAAATTGTGAACGTTAAAAAACTAGCTTATTTCTTTGTCAAGCAAAAACATATTTACATAATTGCCATCATTACAATATGAGTGGTATAAAAAATACCACGTCAGTGACTCATGTGTCAGTGACACAGTGTAAGATGACACCTGTAATAATATATAAATGCCCAACAGTTTTCATGGCCTAATACTAGTACTAGAACTTTTAGATGAGTGACTAATAAATAGTCATGGTACCAAACCTTTTGAAACTGAGCACGACTGGTGCTAGGAAAGCTGGGTAGCCCATAAAGATGGCAACGGGCGTGGTGTCCGCGGATACTAACTTCTTACGCCCGCGCCCGCCAGCTAAATATCTCGCCCGTGCTCGTGCCCGTGACCCGCCAGGTTGAGCATATACATAAACCATAGTACATTATGAAGATACAGATTCACAGCAAATCGTGTATATATACATATATTTACTTATAGGTCCCACATGTCAGACCTGTGGAGCGGGTCTGGCGGATAAATGCGCGAGGATAGCAAATTTCTTTGCCCGCGAAGAACTATCCTCTGGGTTTAGGATGGTGCCCGCGCCCGTGCCCACGGACAAAAAGTGGTGCCCGTATCCTTGCCCATCGGGTTCCATGCCCGCGGGCATGCGGGCATTGTGTGTCCGTTGCCATCTTTAGGCCCTCCACATCGTACTAGTAGTGCCTGAATTTTTTTTTTCGATACACGTAGGCTCATCGGAACTGGCATCATCAAGCCACAGTGTGCTAGCATCGCTCTTGGTCCCACAAACGAAAAAAGCATCCATATAAAATACTACGTCAATCCATATGATGTACGGAGTACTAGGCAAAAGTATCCAGCTTTGATTATTTAATTCACAAGACAGAAATAGGCAGCGGAGCAACTACTTGATCCGCTCTAGAAATTTCAGGCACTGGCATCGGCTGCTCTAGTGTATAGAGCGGTGCCCAGATTTTCTCTCTCTTCTTTTGGCACTACTTAAGCTATACACTGCAGGGCCTCAGTAGCTCACAACACATGTCCTGGCACACCTAGTCATCTCAGCATTACCTTTTTCATTTATCTGTGGCCTCCTTTTGGCCTGCCTGAGTATGCGTGTGAGCGCCATTTCTTTTCATTAATCTCCATGCATGAAAATTAAATTAAAGACGGTGAATTATTTGGCATGTTCGTTGGTTGATTTCTGGGCTGGTTTAAGCTGATTGGTGCTGGTTTATTGTGAGAGAAAAACACTATTAGCTGGCTAGTTTGGCTGACTGAACCAACAAGCGAACAGGTTGATTGAATGGATTGGTGTTAACTGGACAGTGAACACGTGGTGGCACGTGTCTGTTCCGGACCGTCGCCGGACGCCGGCGACGCCAAGTCGGAATCGAGTTGACCCGACCGCCCCTGGACATAGGTGATCCGTGATCATCGATAAGTCACCGCCCTGTGGGCCCGCCACGAACATCCACCGCCGTACGTACCTATCTCTCGGGATCCCCACCCTGGCAGCCTCCCCCGCGTAGACTTTGCCCAGGACAGGTACAGAGCAGGCGTACGGCCCCGCACCTCACCATCCTCAGCCGCCGCCTGCCTCACTTGGGCCCTCCCCCTCCCCCTCCTCCGCGGCGGCTCGTGGCACTAGCTCCACAGAGGACACGAGGAGGGGGCAGCAACAAGCTCTGCTCAACAAAGCAGCTAGCTGCTTTCTGCGGTCCGGTCGGTTGGTGATGGAGCTGCACGCGGGCATGGCGTTCCTGGACCTGGTGGCGAAGCAGGTGGACCCGGGCGCGCTGGGGTTCTGGCGCGACTTCCTGCTGGGCATGCTCAAGCCGCTGGCGGCCACGGCCGTGGTGGCCATGGCCGTCGCGCTCAGCTTCTCGCAGCGCCTGGGCCTCGAGGGCGAGATGCTCTACGCCATCGCGCGCGCCTTCCTCCAGCTCTCCGTCATCGGCTTCGTCCTCCAGTTCATCTTCACCCAGAAGAACGCGCTCTGGATCCTCCTCGCCTACCTCTTCATGGTACCTCTCTGCTCCCTTCCTCCTTTTCCGTTTCGTCCCGATCGATCAGAGCCTGAGTGAGTGGCTGCAGCTAAAGATGTCATTTTTTTTTATAAACTCTCCAATTCAGCTCAGGACACCATCGTTTCGCTCACCAATTCACTACACACTACTACTCGTCGTCCATGGCTGACAATTGAGTTGACCAACGCGCGCGCGCACGTTCTCTCGTCTCGCAGGTGATGGTCGCCGGCTACACGGCTGGTCAGCGCGCCAAGCAGGTGCCCCGCGGGAAGTACATCGCGTGCGTCTCCATCCTCGTCGGCACCGCCATCACCATGTTCCTGCTCGTCCTTCTCAACGTATTCCCGTTCACCCCGCGCTACATCATCCCCGTCGCCGGCATGATGGTCGGCAACGCCATGACCGTCACCGGGGTCACCATGAAGAAGCTCCGGGAGGACGTCAAGATCCAGAGGAACCTGGTCAGTCACTCACCTCAGCTGCATTCGACCTTGTTTGCCTTGCTGCTCGATTGTTTAATTGCTTGTCTAATAATTTTTCGAAGTTCTGACTGAGACCACCAAGAAATGGTACAGTACAACAAGGACAGAACGAAAGTTTACAAGCTGTTACATCAGAAGCAGCTCTGTTTGGCTTGGCACACCAAGCTCATAGTCTCTCATAATAGTTTAATCTAATTAATTATATTATTCTGTTGGTGATGTCAATCAGATGAGTCTGAAGATTCATTAGCATCTCCTTTCTCTGCATCAATCAATCAATCAGGTGGAGACGGCGCTGGCTCTGGGCGCGACGCCGCGGCAGGCGACGCTGCAGCAGGTGAAGCGGTCGCTGGTGATCGCGCTGTCGCCGGTGATCGACAACGCCAAGACGGTGGGGCTGATCGCGCTGCCGGGCGCCATGACGGGGCTCATCATGGGCGGCGCGTCGCCGCTGGAGGCCATCCAGCTGCAGATCGTCGTCATGAACATGCTCATGGGCGCCTCCACCGTCAGCAGCATCCTCTCCAGCTACCTCTGCTGGCCGGCCTTCTTCACCAAGGCCTTCCAGCTGGACGACAAGGTCTTTGTTGACTAGGTAAGCTAGGATGTTCTGCAGGGAAGCTGTATCTGTAACTTTGGGCTTTGGGTGAGGCTGAATTTACTGAGTTTGCAGTGATGTTGATGACGACTTTCAGCGTCAATGTTGATGGTGAATTACTGAACTGTAATACTAGCAGTTTAGAGATTGCGAAAGCGTCCGTGTCTGTAGAAATTTTAGCTTCTGTTATTTCTGATGAGTACTACACATGGCGCCTCTTTTCCTTGCAACATGCTCAAGAGGAAATGCCACATTTCCAATTGTGCCCTCTTTTCCTTACAACATGCTCGAGGAAATGCCACATTGCAAATTGTTATGGATCTAAAGGAGGTGGTGATGGAGAGCTGGGGGCATGTTTGGATCCATTAGCATAAAAAATTAACTAGCTAATAGCTAATAGGTGCTATTTTTCAGGAGAGGACTGTTTGGAATAACCTGCTAACAGATAGTTGGATAGTGTGTCGAAAGTGTGTATGAACTATTATCACTTATTAGCAATTCCAAACCAGCTAATGGAACTAATAGTTAGTAACCCTCCGGCTAATAATTAGTAGGTTTGTTTGGATCCAGTAGTACTAATTTGAGCTGCTTTTTTTTTGTGCTAACGGATTCAAATAGGTCCTAAGTCTCGGGTTTGACAAAAGCTAATTGAAAGTTCTGATTAGTCTGAATGTCTGAGATCTCCAAAACTCAATGTCTTTTTTTTTCTCAGCAGGGACTTCATGCGTATTTCATTAAGAGGGAGAGCTGAAAGAACGGCTTACACAACGTAGCTACGGGAGAATCCATAGTGGTTCGGATGGTAGACAATAACAGAACAGAAAAAAGGCGTTAGGGAGAGGCCCTTCACCACACACCTTAAACCTAACTGGCTATACTTGCAAAGTAAAAATACATCAACACAAGGGTGCCAACAACAAAGATGAAGCCGCGGTGGCAAATCATCCACCGAGAAGCGACCAGACTACAACGTCGAAGTATCTGACTAAGCAACACGGCGGCAAAGTATCCGCCAGAGTGAACACGACAAAGTATTTGCGATCCCCCTTAGCTGCCGGCATGAGGGGGCTTCCTAAGAAACGTCGGCGGCAAAGTATCCACTC